TGTTGTTGCGCTATTGTGTTCTTCACATGGGTGGCCCATCAGGCTCCAGGCCAACCTCCCATTCCTCCAGACAGGGGTATATGTGGGTATTGCATTCACATGACCAGTGAGTTGGCCATGCAACCCCTTCGGTTGCCAGTTTTAAATTACCGTATCGGAAGTTATTTGTGCTATGCAAATACATTGGCTTCTCTGCAGTTGTGATGTGTTTTTATTTTGCTTTTCTCCTATTTATCTTCCTAGCAAACTTCCTTTTGTAAAGAGTGAATGAAGAAAGCTTATCCACACCTGAGCCCACAGTTGGGGAAATAGCACCCTGAAGGATGCTTTGGTAGTGACCAGCATTCCAGCTAAAGAATGGAGGTTGGGGGATGGAACAAGTGTATACAAAACTTAAATACTTTTCTTCTAAATTTTCTTTGCTTGCCTACTTAGCTTGTTTTCCAATAATTGTGTGCTTATAGAGACCAGTACTATAAGTGAAACAGCCTGCAGCATAATTATCCATGGGGCTTGTCAAAAGTCAGATTTCTAAGCCCTATGATCAGTTCAGCTATATTGGACTCGCTAAGAATGGGGCCCAAGAATTTTTATTGTTTAAATTCTTTTAATCAACTGTATTGACTAATAATTTATATTCAGTAATGTACATCCACCTGGCATGCACAGTTCAGTGAATATATGTACTCATATAGTCACTATTAAAATCAAAATTGCCATCACTGTAAAAGGTAATATCATGCCCCATTGCATTTAATTCCTCTTATCCTCAGCTCCAGTTAACCACTGATTTGCTTTCTGTCAATATATGTTAATTGTGTCCATTATACAAATTTCACATAAATGGAAATTATACAGTTTATGCTCTTTGATGTCTTTCTTTTTTTGCTCAGCATAATGCTTTTGAAATTCATCCATTTTGTTATAGGTTCCTATTATTTCTGAATTGCATTCATAATAGATACACTGTAATTTTTATATTCACCCATTGCTGGACATTTTTGTTGTTTCCAGGTTCTGGTTATTTTTAATAAAGCTGCTATTAATATTAATAAAAAAAGTCTTTGAACATATGTTTTAATATGTTTCATGTTTTAATCAAGACTAAAAATATAGAATTGAAACTGCTGGATCATATAAAAGTATATTTTAATTGAATAAGAAACTGCCAAACTGTTTTTCAAAGTGATGGTAATACTTTTTATTCTTCAGCAATGTGTGAGAGGTTCAGGTGTTTCATGTCCTTGCTAAATTTGGTGCTACCATTCTGTTTTTATTTAGTCCATTTGAGAGGGCAAGTAGTTGTATATCAATATCATTTATTAAAGTGCTTTAGTCTTGACTACTGCTGTTGAGCATCTTCTTATGGGTTTATTGACCATTTGTATATCACATTTGCCCACTGTTTCTATTGGATTCTTTGTCTTTTTATATTTGAATTGCAAGATGTGTTAGGCCATTCTTGCATGGCTATAAAGAACTACCTGAGACTGGGTAATTTATAAACCAAATAGTTTTAATTGACTCACAATTCTTTTTTTTTTGGGTGGGTGTGTGAAATAGAATTTATTGTGGCTCTGACTATACACACATAAGATTGCCTGGCCAGACCAGCCGGGCTCACATGGTTTGTACAATAAATACATCCGTGGTCAGGTTCTCTGCTGTCGGGAAGTTCCACCCACAGTTCAGTCCAGCTTCTGTGCTCTCAGCTTCGTGGGGCCCTTGGCTGTATAGGAAGCATGGCATTGGCATCTGCCCATCTTCTGGGAAGGCCACAAGGAACTTTTACTTATGGTGGAAGGCAAAGTGGGAGCAGGCACATCACATGGCAAAAGCAGGAGCAAGAGACGGTTGGTGGGGGAGGGGCCACACATATTTCAACAACTAGATCTCACAAAACTCAGTCACTATCACAAGGACCACACCATGCCATGGGGGATCCTCCCTCATGACCCAAATACCCCCATTTCTACAAAATTTTTAGAACATTAGCTAGGCATGGTGGCATGTGCCTGTAATCCCAACTACTCAGGGGGCTAGGATGGGAGGATCACTTGATCCCAGGAGGTCAAGGCTGTAGTGAGCTATGACCCTGACACTGTGCTATAGCTGGGGTGACAGACCAAGACCCTGTCTAAAAAAAAAAAAAAAAAACCACAAAAAAACCCCAGCAAGATACTATACAATAAAAATACAATGAAACCAAAGTTTGTGGATATGAAAAAGAACACATTAGAAAACATGGAAATTAAAAATATAGGCCTTAACATTTAAAATCACAACAAACAAAACACAATCAAGATTGAGATCAATTAAAGAGATAATTAGTAAACTGAAAAATAGTTCTGAGAAATCGATCTACTATGCAATGCAGAGAAATAAAATTGGTTTGAATTAAATGACAACAGAAATAAAAGAATGGAGGACAACCTGAGAGGAGTTCTAGAAGACTGGAGGGAAGGGAATATCTAAGATAACTGAGCATTTCTCAGAATTTAAAAAAGACCAATATTCTCAGATGGAAAGTGCACCTGGAGTACTCACCATGATAAATAACATAAGTCAATGCTTTAGTAAAACTGCAGAGTATCAAGGACAAAAGTAAAAATTCTAAATCCACTAGAATGAAAGAAAGATTACCTATAAAGAAACCATCAGACTGACAACTAGTTTCTCAATAGCAACAAAAGATGCCAGAAGACAGTAAAGAAATACTATAATGTACTTTGTACGCTCTAGAGATTGTGCAGTAACCATTAAAGATGTGGAAAAGAGTGTAAAACTACCAAGAGGGGAAAAAAGGGGGTAATAAAATGGTTCAAAACTGACTCAATTCTCAGAAGAAAGTCAAGAATAGAGAGAATTTAGGGAGACAGAACAAGTTGCACATTCAGGAAATGGTTTTAAAAGATGGTCAACTTGAGTCCAAATATTAATAATTACATTCAATGTAAATTGATTAAATGTTGCAATTTTGACAAAAATGATTGTGGTTAGACTGAATTAAAAACAGAAAATCAATCTTATGATATCTACAAGAGACACATCTCTAACAAAAAAATAGAGTAAGATTGAAAGAAAAGGAAGGGCAAAGAGAAACTATGCAAACACTAATCAAAAGAAAGCTAGCATAAACAGATTAGCAGACAAAATAGATCTCCAGGCAGAAAGCATTATTAAGGGAAACATTTCATACCAATAAAAGATTCAATTCACCAGAAAGATATACTAATTCTTAATTTGTATGAGTCTAATAACATAACCTCAAAATATAAACATCATAACATTGATAGAACAGAAAAGAGAAAGATTCAAAATAGAAGATGTTAACACCTGTCTCAGAACTCATAGAACAAAAAGAAATCAGCAGAGATATCTATTAGAGAAATATCAGTAAGAAATTGATATAATAGACTTACATAGAGCACTGTATCCAACAATCACAGTATACATATTGTCTTCAAACACAGATAAGCCTGTCCACTAGGCAATCAAGCTGGGAAAATGTAATGAAAACATACTTTTTAAAATCCTCATATATTCAAAAATTGAGAAATATACTTCTAAATAATCAATGGGACAAATAAGTCTCAATGGAAATTAGAAAATATTTCAAGTGCTACATATGAAAATTGCTGAGATGCAACTCACACTGTGTAGGGGAATTGATCCCATTAAATGCTGCTGTGGTTTGACTGTGTTTTCTCCAAAATTTCTGTTGAAACTTAATCCCCAGTGCAATAGTATTAATGGGGCCCTCTGGGAGGTGATGAAGTCATTAGGGCTCCACCCTCATGAATGGGGTTAAGGGGAAGTTATGTGGGCCCCTTTTGCCCTTCCACCTTCTTCTATGTGAGGACAGGCAACAAGGCACGATTTTGGAAAGAAAGACTGTGCTTTCATCAGACACAGAACCTTTCAGTACTTGGATCTTGGACTTCTCAACTTCCCAGAATTTTCCTATACTACTAGTGACAGTGTAAAATAAGATAGCCACTTAGAAAATGATTTGGTATTATCTACTAGGATTTAAATATGTGCATACTCTATGACCCATTCCTAGGTATACAACTAGAAGACATTCATGCTCACCTGCATCAACAGACATGTATGTGACTGTTCCCACTGGCATTATTCATGGTAACCCCAAATTGGAAGCAAACCAAATGTCCAATATCATTGTAATAAATAGCTCAATTGTGATATATACTACTCATACAATGGAATACTATACTGCAATGAAAACGAAGAAACTACAATCTCCTGAAACAACGTGGATACATCAAACAAATATAAAATAAGTGAAACATGTCACAAACAGATAGTATTTACTTCATTATTGTCATTTACAGGACATTCAAAAACAGACAAGTAAACAATATTTTGTTCAGGAATAAAAATTTAGTAAAACCAAAGCAACAAAGTAATTTTTATAAAAGATTAAGCAACTTGGGCTGAAATAGTGACTAGGGAACATCACAATGGTGGGTTCTGGAGTGTTGACAATGTCCTTTCTTTTTTATCTAGATGATGATGAGATAGATATATGCTTTGTGACAGGTGATGCACTTTTCTGTCTGTTTAGCAACCAAAAAGATTTAAGTTAAAGAAGAACTCAGAGACAAATACAGCATTTTACATAAAAAACACATAACTGTATTTAAAAGAAATTGATCCCCCAAAATATAGAGATTGATTTAAACAACCCACTAGATAGGTTTCACAGTAGTCACACAGCTGAAGAGTGAATTAGTGAACCGGAAGATAGAGTGACCCAATGTACCGCATGGATAGATAGAAAGATGCATGAAATAAAGTAGGTGTCTAGAGAGCTGGAGGATAGCATGAAAGCATCCAATATATGCTTAAAACAATTCAAAAATAAAGAGAGTAAATGGGCAAGAGGTAATGGTGTAAATGATAATGGCTGAAAATTTTCCAGAATTAAGAAAGATAAAAATCTGCCCTGGGTTCCTGTCTCCTCCAGGTATGTGGTGATGGTGGGCATGCCCCTCCCCAACATCAGGTCTCCAGAACTGCAGGAGAAGATGGCCCACTTGGATCAGACCCTCGTGAGTGACCCCAGTGTCACAGTGGGTGAGAGGAGAGTAGGTGGGAGTGGCATCACCCCCAAGGATGAAACAGCCAGGCCTTTTCTGCTGTGCTGGCATCTCCTGGCCCCTCCAGAGGCTTGGATGCCACCCCCCCACCCTCTTGATCTTCCCTGTGATGTCACCTGGATTCCTGCTGCTGGCACTGGCCATGAAGTCTCCTGGTCTGGCTCTAAAGCCTGGCAGTGTCTTTTCCCAGGGAGAGCTGCAGGCAGGAAGCAGTCCCGATGGGTCATCTGCTTCACCCCCAGCCCAGGGCCCCAGGCTGGGTGCCCCCAGGGAAGGCTCTGGTGGAGAACCTGTGCATGAAGACTGTCAACCAGTCCATAGGTGAGCCTGGCTGCCTCTGACTGGGTGGACAGATGGGGGCTTTAAAAGGGAGAATAGCAAAGCGGGGTTACCTGCCTGTCTCCTACATGAGTCTGAGGAAGGGGAAGGGGATGCCATGGGAATGTGCTGTGGGGGAGGCAGGTGTTACTCAGAGCCCCAGCCTCTGTTCCTATGCAGGCAGGGCCATCAGGCACCAGAGGGATTTTGCCAGCATAGTGCTCCTGGACCAGAGATATGCCCAGCCCCCTGTCCTGGGCAAGCTGCCAGCCTGAATCTGAGCCCACGTGGAGGTCAAAGCTGCCTTTGGCCTTGCCATTGCTGCCGTGCAGAAGGTCAGTCCTGCCTTTTCCTTTCCCAAGAGCCTTCTTGTGTCAAGATCGTATTTCTCACTACTCTCTGTCTGCCCAGTTTCACCGGGAGAAGGCAGCTTCTTCCTGACAGGCAGCCATACCATTGCCTGGTGCTGCACCCTTCCTTTGCCCTGCCCACTGGAGACGGTGTTTGTCATGGTCTGCAGGGATCCTGCTACAAAGGTGGCCTGGTCTGCAGGGATCCTGCTACAAATGTGAAACCCAGGAGAAAGGGTGGAGTCGAGAGCGCTGCCAGGACCCAGGCACAGGCACTAGCTCCCATAGGAGAAAATGGGGGAATCCTGAAGAAACAGTGGGTCCTGGCTGTCCTTGGAGTGTTCCCTGGGCAGCTTCAATTCTGTGTTGCTGAGAGCCACGTTTTCCACCTGGCCTCTACAAGAGTCTGTGGCAGCTGTGGCATCCACTGTGGCACCTCTGTGCTGCTCACCTTCTTAGAGGCAAGATGGAGCAGGCCCCTCTGCCTCTGTCCTTTCCTGCCAAGGTTAGCTGCCTAGGACTGCAGTGGCTGCGGCCTGGGCTGGGGATGAGGGTGCCCTGACCAGCACTGCAGAAGCTGGGGAAGATGAGGGGTGCTGTAGTGCTACATTTCTAGGTCTGAAAAGGAAGTGAGAGAAACTGTGGGGTGCCTAGGGAAGGAGGTGTCTGAGCAGGGAGCGCAGCTCCCATCCTAGTGCCCAGCTCACTTGTGTTGAGAGGCTTGAGCCTGGTGCCAGGGGCAGAGTGGGTGATGCAGGGCCTAGGCAGACCTGGTACCTGAGGTTGTCTGTCAGGAAGGTAGGACAGGTAGGATGGCACATCCACCTCAGGCACTTGGCCCAGGTCTTTCATGCAGTTCTCTGGGATCTGCAGGATTAGGTGGGGATGCGTGAGACTGCACACGAGGCCTTGCTGGGGACCTGCAGGAACAGCCAGCGAGGCCTCATGTGCAGTCCACACAGCTGTGATGGCATAGGGAGTTCAACAGAGCCTCTCCTGGAGAAAAGCATGGCAAGGCCCCCAACCCCTGCACCTGCCTCCATCCCTGTGCCCTCCTCCACCTGCTGCTCCAGCTGCTCTCTCTTATTGATGGACAAGGTGGCACCAAACAGTTCCTCCTCTGTCTTTGCCCCCAGCATCACATGGGTCTTTGTTACAGCATCAGCCAGTCAGTCCAGACAGACAGACTTCTTGTATTGGGGCGATGTGGAGGTCAGGCAAGCTGGCACCTGCTGTCCCAGGATCATGTTCCTGACCTGCCTCTCCCACATCATCTCCAACATAGAGTGTGCACTGAGGGGTCCCAGGCCACCAAGCCAAGCCACCCCAGTCACCTCCTGGCTCCCACCTCTGTGCTGCACCTGAGTGTGATGCCCTGGGTCCCCCTTAAGCCAGGCTTGGTCTCCCATCCATATTCTGTGACCCCATTTTCTGGCCATACAGAATCTCTGTGGTGTTGAAGAGCAGCATAGAGACCTGGGGAGACCCCTGAGCCCTCCTCCACATCATCCTCAGGCTCCAGCTTGGCGCTCCCCACATAGGAAAGACTTCAGCTTCTGGGAGGGTCAGGTAGCTGAGGGATGGTGTCAGGCCAGCAGCTGACCTAGAGGCTACTTGGGAGGAGGGAGCAGGGAGCAGGGAGCACCCATTTCTGACCCAGATTCACTGCTCTTCCTTCACCTCTGCCACGATCCCAGAGAAGCAGATCCTGAACCTGGGCTCTTGCCTTCACCTTTATCCTCTCCACTCTGGGATAATTAAGAATGACTTGCTAATTATGCAGGCAGCTGATCCAGTGCTGTGTAGCCTTGGGGATCACCAGATGCCAATCAGTAGAGAGAATGTGGGAGAAGGAAGGATGGAAAAAGAAGACAAGGGGAAAGGGGAAAGGAGGAAGAGGAGAAGAAAGAGATGTGGGAAAGGAAGAAGAAAGAGATGAAAGGACCAAGAGCTTTACAGAGAAAATCACCCATTTTCCAGGGGAAGGTGCTGGGCAGTGGTGCTGCCTCTCAGCTGAAGAAATTGGGCAGGAACTGACAGGCAGATGACAGCATCCAAGCTTTCATACACACAGTTTGTCCCCTCCTTTTCCCTCTGCATCCCAACACCCCTCCTGCCTTGTCATCTAAGTCACAGGAAGCAGGCGACATGTCTGTTCTGATATTTTGGGGTCTGGCCTCTCCCAGGTGAAGAGGGGACAGATAGAGGGGCAGGAAGAAGGGGCAGGGAGGGGCTGGGGGGTGCAGCTGGAGAGCTTCGGAGGTGCTTGTCATTCCCTCAGTCTCTGCATGCTCCCCACAGCAGCAGAGCAGGAGGAGGGAGCACAGCCTGGAATGCCTTGTTTCCTCATCCATAAAATGAAGATAACAGCAGTGTGTGCTCGTAAAATGTGGCCAGGGTTAAATGAGTTAATGCACTCAGATCAGTGGTGGTGCATGGTTATGGTACATGCATATTAGTGATTGGGAAATATTATAAATAAGCCTTATCACAACTGTAATTTAATAACTGATCATGCATTGGCTCTTTAGATCTGTCTCTCCTGCTGTGCACTCCAGCTGGATAGGGACACTGGCTTATTCATCACTGGATCTATAGGAATTTTCTCAGTGCCTTGCACACAGGCACTGTTGGGTAACAATGTATGACTGCAGGAAAAAGTGAAGGATTAAGCTCCCTTGTGTGAGGAAGAGCATGAGTTGAGACAGCAGAGCCACCATGGGAAACCAGGAGGCAAAGTGGGGCTGAAGGGGGTGAGCTCTCGGGCTCTCAGGAGCAAAATCTTCCAAGCTGGGCTCTCACCTTGGCCCCTCCCACCCAGGGAAGCCAGCTGGGTCCCCCAGGACCAGGAATTCCCAAAGGGGCTGCTCCCAGAGGGTGTGTTACAGGGACTGGATAGAAAACAGGGGGTGGCCCTCTGATCAGGTGAGGTTGGGTGGCAGCATCCACCTGCTGAAGTTGTCTCCAGAGACCTTCTGCAGGCACTGTTGGGCATCTGCCACCTGCTGGATGGACTCCTCTTACCACAGGTCTGGATAAGGTGCCTGGTACAGGTCTGACCTGCCAGGGAGTGCTGGGTCCTCACAGGAGTCATGCTGCCTGTGGGTGGGAGTCGGAGCATCAGAGTCAGCCATGCCCACCATCACTCACTCACCACAGGCAGTGGGTGTTGAGACAGCACAGCCTTTATCCTAATTTTGTTCATAGCTTCAGTCTACACAGGTGGGGAAGGGGATGGGGGACAAAGCATTTGGTGGGAGGCCAGGATCTCATAGGAAATGGGATTCTGCTGATCCTGCTGAGTGGGTGAGTGAGTGAGGGGGCAGGACCAAGGACTGGAGAATTGGTAGGGACAAGGGAGGAGCCCAGAGAAGGGGCAACGTTTCCTCATCCCTTATAAGGTGCTTGGTATCTGCCAGGCACCCTGTCCACACATGATCTCAGTTCAGCTCCCCACGTTGAATACACAAGAAAGAAACCCCGGCTGCAGAGGAAAACAGAGGCTGGAAACAGAGGGATACATGGGCAGGGTGGTGCTGGTGAGAGAATTGCCTGAATCAACTGCCAAATGGTTCCCAGATTTGGAAAAGCACAGCAAATGTACTCACATGGGTTCTTCCCACTTTAACCCTGAGGAACTCAAGGCCTACTTCTGAGACAGACTGGGCAGTGGCTAGTGACTCTACATATAGGAGTGTCCAGGCCCTGCTCATCCAGGCTAGAGCTTAGGGAGCCAGAAGGAAGGAGGTGCATGTGGGGGTGCAGGACAGGAGGGAAAAATACTCCTTGAATTGCCAGGTGAGGGCAGAATCTATTTACATTGGGTTGAGTTAACTCCTCCCCTGGATGCCACTAAAGGAGAAATCAGACTGCAGATGGCACTGATTTGATTGGCATGCCAGGAAGAGTATTAAGGGACCAGGCCCCTATAAATAGGCCTAATCGCAGCATGTTGCTTGAAAACAGCATGAGAGACATTCATCGGGCCTGGCACTGTGCCCTAGACCTGCTCTCCTGGGCACAACAGTGGCGGGGGGGGCCTCCATTGCAACACAGGTGTGGGTGGGGCTGGGTAAGTGTGGCAGGAAAGGCCTAGGAGGCTCTATTTGGCCTTAAAGGCTGTGTGGCCTTGGGCAAGTTGCCTTCTCTGAATCTCTGGTCCTTTCCATTTCCAGTTCTCCAGGCTGAGAACTGCACTCTGATATGTGGTTATTCCCAATAATAATAATGCGTGTATCATACATAATCCATCACACCAAAGTCTTCACCGTGCTGGGACCTACTCCTCTGCTCCCCCTGCTGGCTTCCTCAGCCCCTGCGTCTGCTCTGATAGTTCTCTCCTAGCCTCTTCAGGCCAGCACTTTCCATGCTCTGAGATGACCGTCCTCCTTCCTCTTCAGCTTTTTCTCCAGCAGCGAGTTCCTTGTCCTAACTCAGGCTTCCACGAAAGATATCCTCTGCTTCTCAAACCCGAAACTGCCTCGAATACTCATGAGAGCCCAGGAGCTACTCCTTATCTCCCACTTCTCTTCCCTGCTATCAGATAACCAAGGCATGGTCAACTGACCCCAACCATGCCAGGAACCCAACCATGTGAGGCCACCCATCCCTTTCCAGAATGTTTCTCCCTTTCCCTTCTTTGTATTTATACTGATGCAAATTTGCTGGCCATCCTAACTTAGTCCTGTGCCTCAGTTCTCCTATCTGTAAAATCAAGAGGAGAATATGTAAGATACTTTCTATGCTCATCTTAAGATGAATTCCTTGTTAGTTACCACATCTGAGGGTGTCTGTATATGTTTACTGCACTACCCACATGAGAGCATAGAATAAACACAAATCTAAACAAGGAAGTAGCAAGTTCTTTCAAGAGTTAAGCGACTAATTAGTGGTTTATTCATTCTGTCTGCAAACATCTACTGATTCTCTCTTCAGAGCAGACTTTGATCACTACAAAAATGAATAAGACACTACACTAGCCAAGGAAATAGCTTCAAAAACAATTGAACTCTAATCCAGCCATGTGTACAATAAGGAAGGACAAATTCCTTCTGGGGTGAGGGAAGTCAGGAAAAGCCTCTTAGCAGAATGTGTGCCTCTCTACTAGGCCCAGGGAGACAGTATAAAGACAGTGTTCCAGGTGGGGAGCAGTGGCTCACACCTATCTCAGAAATTTGGAAGGCTGAGGTGAGAGGATTCCTTGGGCCCTGGAGTTCAAGACCAGTCTGGTCAACATAAGAACTGGAGTCAGGCAGTCACATACTTCACACTGGCATCCA